TTAGTTTCCTGGGAAGAAATGGGAATTCTGGAAGAGAAAGCAGTATGGAGGGTACTATCATCTGCAAAGCTGTGGATGGGGCAAGTTGTTACTCCCAACAGATCATTGATATGAAGAAGGAATAATGTTGGTGCCAAAATTGATCCTTGTGGAACGCCGGAATTGATGCCAATGGTATCAGACGATACACCGTCCACCACCACATGAAGTGATCTGCCTGAAAGAAAACTCGATAAGAGATGGCATAGCTGAGGTGGTAAGCCGTATGATGGTAGTTTGTGGAGGAGTCCTTCGTGCCAAACACGGTCAAATGCTTTCGATATGTCCAACGCGACAGCTAGAGATTCCCCGTGTTTTTCTATTGAAGCTTGCCATACATGGGTGACGTAGGCAAGTAGATCTCCAGTAGATCTTCGGTGGCGAAAGCCGTATTGTCTATCATTGATGATTCCTGAGCTCTCCAGATATTTGATAAGCTCAATGTTGATGGCTTTCTCCATCACTTTGGAGATTACTGATAACAGAGAAATGGGCCTGTAGTTGTTGGGCAGGTTCTTGTTTCCTTTTTTGGGGATAGGTTGGACTCTAGCTATCTTCCAGCATGATGGAAAAATACCCGACCTGTACGAGACGGTAAACAACTTGCAGAGAATCGGTGTTAATTCTGGTGCACATTTTTTGAGGATAATAGGTGGAATTCCATCAGGACCGTTAGCCTTATTCGTTTTGAGACCAAGCAAAATTCGTCTGATAGTGCGTTGACGAAAGACGATTTCGGGCATTCGACTCTCAACCGGTGGAATGTCTGGCGGCACTTTTCCTTGGGCATCCAAAGTAGAGTTTGCTGCGAACATCTCTGCAAAAATATTCGCTTTCTCCTGCGATGTTGTTGCTAATGTGCCGTCGGATTTGGACAGTGGTGGAAATGAACTGTTAGTGAAATTTCTTCCGACCGCTTTAGCAAGGGACCAAAACGAACGGGAGCCATTGGGACACTCTATGAGTTTTGATCTTATCTTGGCATTGTATGTCTCTTTCGAAGCATCTATTGTTTGGCTGCAGTTATTCCTGGCATCAACGTATTCTGCTCTAGTCGCGAGGTTAGGGTTTTTGAGCCAGCGATGGTAGGCTGTTTGTTTCAAGGCAACAGTTCTAGAACAGTTTTTGTTGAACCAGGGTTTCGATGGTGATGATCTTTTCGAAGAATGAGGTATGTATGTGTCCATTCCGAGCATGATGATCTCGGATATTTCCATAGCACACTGTGAAGGGTCCTCAGAGTCAAAGCATACTCTATGCCAAGGAAACTCGGAGAAAAACATGCGGAGACCGTCCCAATCTCCTGAATTGTAATGCCATATAAGACGTGAGGGTGCCGGAGCAGTTGATGGAATGAAGAATGGGCAGGTTGTGGAGATGAGTGTATGGTCAGAATTGCCAAGTGGAGCTCGTACATCTATGGTGTAGGGTGCTGAATTATTAGTGAGGAATAAGTCAAGTGTGTTAGCTGAATGGTTATTGGCATCGGGAATTCGTGTGGGTTCTTTGATAAGCTGCTCTAAGCCGTGAGTGATAGCGAAAGCTTCGGCTTGTCGCCCAGCTTCATCCGTTCTGTTAGAGTGTACGAGCCAAGCAGTGTTGTGTACATTGAAATCGCCCATGATGATGATTTCAGCTGCTGGATGGTTATGTTGAATTTGGTCAAGCTTCAGAGACAAGAATTCAAAGAGCTCTTCATAGGATGGATCATTCGGTGATAAGTAGAGACAACAAAGGTATTTGGTCTGTTTCTGGCTATCGAGTTTGAACCACATGACATCAAACTTATTTGGTTCCAAAGTTTTTTCTCGTTGACATGAGAGATTCGTTTTAGAGTAGAGGCAGAGACCCCCCTTGAATCTGAAACGTGTGTGGAGTTCGTACCCAGGACAGAGCAGATAGGTCGTATTGGTGGATGAATTGACCTGTGTCTCAGTAAGAGCCAATATGTCTGGCTTTTCAATTTGGAGGTGTCGATGGACATCGTTGATGTTCTTACTTAGACCTCGGATGTTACATAGGTCTATCTTGAGGACTTTTTTAGCCGATGGTGAACCCCCTCTAGTACCTCTCGCCCGGAAATCCGAATGGAGAGGTATTTTACTTCCGGATAATTTTACTTGAGGAGAACTCATCATCGCTTATTCTGTATAAAGAAGGGAGGTTGACGTGGAAGGAAAAGGAAATTGGGTTGGGTTGGGTTGGCCGGAACATCAACCAGCTACTGAAACACGGGTGAGTATACCCATTTCACAGTGCCTATGGTTGATGTGGTGGTATCGCACCGGGCGATGACGTTAACCATCTTCCACTTATTGGCGTCCTTTTAGTCGCCTTCTACGACAGGCAGGACTTACCGTGGGGTTATTTAAAAAATCAAGTTCTATGAATGTGTTGTCAAACTCGGCCTAACGGCCTCATCGGACAATTTCACGTCGAGTGCAATAAACAATTTTTGCACGAGTTGCATACAACATTTTTTCTACGTTCATGCAAAAAGCAAAAAATGATTTATTGAGGTGCGGCACTATATAGGTGTAGGAAAATGAAGGAACTAATACGTTACGAACAATTATTTAACTCAAACTTTATTTTTACCCTCAATGTTGAAAGTGAATGAACAATTGGTGCAATTTTCAATATGAATATATGACGTTTCTATAACCACAGTTGCAATATAAAAAATGTTTGTCATGATGACAGCACGTTGAAGTAGAATGACAGATGAGTGCAATAAAGAACTTCTTTTTCCACTGAATATAGTTCAATAAAGTTCTGCTTTTTGCATGAATGTAGAAAAAAGTAATTTATGAAGAGACATTTTATAACCTGTCAACAGAGATGAAATGTCAAACTTTTTTCCCGTTACAGAAAAATAGTATATTGTATAACGAGCACGGAATGATAGTCATCAGCATTATGTACGAGTTATACACTATACTTTCTCTACGGCTGTAACAGATAACAGCAGAATTTGTGATTTCTTCGGCTTGGAGCCATCCGATTTTCTCTGTCATTGCTTGAAATTTGGCTTTTCTCAGGAGATACGATTTTGTGAAATAATAACACAACGGAAATGAAATTGATGACATACAAAGTACCTCATGATTTATCCGAGGATTTATCGAGAACAGTTAAACAAGAGCATTTTTTGGATTATAGCCGCAGAAAAATAGTGAGAAGAATAGTTTAACTTCACTTTTGATTTAGTAGGTAGCTCGATAGGTAGGTATTATTGAAATTGATAATTTATAAACAATTAGGATTGGAATACTAGGGTAAGTCCTCGGGTAAGTCTCTAGGTAAGTAGTCTCTTTGGGAAAATCCGGCCACGAAAGATTTCTTGTATGTATACTTACAGCCTACGGAGCAGGCTACACAGTGTGTAAGGTATTTCACAAAAATCCGAGCAAAAATCTACCTCATATTCCTCAGATCCAAATAAGCTCATTATGAAGATTCTGAAGACTTCTGTGCCAAAAATCATAAATGTCACTTATTACAAATTATAATTACAGAGCTTTTGAAGTATTTTCACAACAGAGCACACGAGATAACTCACTATTAGCCTTGATTATATGTATACACTAGTATCTTGAACCTCAAAGTATAAAATATTGATGCGGCTAAAATAGTAGATTGTTCTATTAGGATCAAAAGTGACACTTTGTTTGACAAGCGAATTTTGCATTTGCGAGGCGGAGCGTTTAGCGAAGCCGAGCGAAAGCAATATTTGCGAGTCGAACAAAGTCACTTTTGATCCGAATGAAACATGCTATTTTTTCTGCAACCGAAACAATTAACTCAAATAAACATGTGGTGAGAATATTCTACCTGCATTTACAGCAGGTTAGGTTTTCTAGGATGTTCGAATTGTAGTTTCAATATAAATACAACCACAGTGTGACATATTTGTGTATGGACCAGGTGCTCTAATGGCAAATACCGCGCCAGTGTCAGCTATAGGAACAAGACGTGGAAAATGTTAGGTTAGTGAGCATATCAACAATGATAATAGTGATTATTTATTCCTCTCCATACTACACTGTGTTTGAATTGATAATCAAATGAAGCTAAACAATATCGTTGTTTGAGACAAAAAACTATTGCTTCATCAAGCAAGTATTTGAATCTTGAAGGCTTCCCTGATCAAAACAAAAATACTTAACTGAGATGTTTATAATTTCAATACTAAACTATAATAAGGTGTATTCATATCTCCATCAGCATGGGTATGAAATGCCAAATCTGCTGAAATCGGAAACAAATCAGGTATGCGTCTCAACCCAAATAACCAACCGTCACAATGTTGTTCATTCTTGATGACGTCCAGTAGATCCTTTTTAGTTCCTAGGAGCTGAAGTTCAACTTTAGCTCCTAGGAACTAAAATTCAACTTTAGCTCCTAGGAACTAAATATGTTGCTTAGCAACGTACCTATTTTTGTGTCAGTAATAGAAACGTCAATTTAAGAGCTAATTTTGGTATCAAAATTGACGACTTTTGTGTCGGTTGCAGAAAAAAGCTTTTAAAAAGTCTTAGGCTTAGACAATATGCCTTTTTGCCAAGATTTGGTAGGTAGATTGTTGATTAAGTTTTAGGCGAGGTTTTATGGGACAAAAAACATTATAAAATCATTTATTTAGGTAATAATCGAGGTACCTATAAGTATAACAATAATTGTTGACAGAGCTTGGAAGGTAGTTTTTAGGTTGGTAGGTAGGTAGGGTAGATTAGGCATTAAGGAACTTGGATATTTATAAAAAATCCCTAGGTACAGGGTATGCCTTTTTCAAAACGGAATTTTAGAGATAACACTACTTGATATCAAAAAAATGTTCAATACAATACAAAAGGTAGGTTCATGTGTAAATAAAACCTAGATATCTTTATGTTTTCTTCGAATCCCATTTTATATATGAAATAGGTACCTATAGGTACCTACCATAGACAAGTCGAGGCATGCATGTCACAGTTCGAATTCCCAGTACCACACAGGATATGCCCACGGCAATCATGAAATGCAGTACCACGGTGTGGGCAGCAGGTACCAAAACAGTACCCACATCCGCTGGTCCGTAACCCACGATCATCTCGGAAAATATAGCTAGGCTAGCTGTCCAGCTGCCGACACCAAAACAAGGGAAGTCGTTAACCGAAACCGAGCCGATCAGAAAAAAAGGCAGAACGACCCAGCCTACTTCCCGAACGGTGAGCACACAGGTAACCTAACATCGGTTAAAAATAATGAATACAGTCCATTCACGAACCGTTTTAATACACACACACACTCCGACAGACACGGACCGTAGGCGTGAGGCAAGTATTATAAACATCGATTCAGAATAAAGCAAGAAACGTTTCATGAATGGGAAATCGGAACCATTGATTAATGCGGCAATCGGCTATGAATGATGATATCGCATGACGTTGAACGACAACCGAGGATCCGATAAGCAGAACTAGAGCCAAACATAAGCAAACCCGAATTTCATAGCCCTTATCAGACTGTCCTGTCTGCAATTCTCCCCGAGAAGAGCCACAGCAGATCGACATATTCAGCCATGGCGGCGGGGTTGTCAACTTGGGGATGCAACTTTCGGGGCGCAATGGACAAGGGTGCAAGGTACTTACTCTTCAGACGACTCGGTCATGGTTGGTCTCGTGGAATATCCTACTGAGTGAAGTCCATTTGCTTGACCGACACATTTTCGCACCACATCAAACCCAACTTTACAACACGGGAAACACCATTGAACTAAAATATACTGTTAGGATGACATCTAGCAGGCGAGTGCGCGTGCGCTAGCGAACGCGCCGACTTGTTGGCAGCTCCGTTTGAATTTGCCCGCGCTAGGACCGTCGCTTATTGATTTTTCGGTCGCAATTCGTCGAGCGAGAATTGAAATTGCCCAAGTTCTGCCACTCGACTTTCAACTAAAAATAATCGCAATCAAAAATTATTATCGTACAAGAATCAACGACCTAGTAATTCTACTGTTCTCACTACAATTAATCAACTACCTTCAGATTTACCTTAGTAAATATAAAAGTAATTCAACAAACCGAATGACATAACCAGGGCAATTTGATTTCTTGTATTTCTCTTAGAGACGGAGTGAATCGAAATAATAATACCACCCTTTGGATTTGCTTGAAACTAGTATTTTAGTTATAACGAGAATGGAAAAAATGTTATAACATATAGCTCAGAAAGAAATAGCCTGTTTACCAGAAGATTCGCAAAACACACATATATGATTCAAAATATTTCTCGAGGTAAGTTTAACCCGTTTGACCTAATATAGGAAGTTTTTCTTGGGTTTAAAAGTAAACCAAACCGTTAAGCCAAAATACAACATGAATGCCTGTAGCCACAATATCAAAATAATAGTATTATAATATCATAAACAGGATATAAATAAGATATACTTACATGATTTGCTTCAGTTAGTTCACTAATCACGTCCATATAGGTACACATAATTTCAAATTTCAACTAAAAATTATTCTAATATCTCTTCAACAATGAAAACAATGGATTTCAACTAAATAGCTTGATCAATGATATTATATTTCATCATCACTCACATTCCACTGTCATACAGAGGTAACAAATGATACAGGAAACATCAGAAAACCATGCAAAGAGAAAAATCAGAATTGTATAGTCAAGATGGCCGTGTGAATAGGGGGTCGACACCTACTGTTTATTTGAACTACACATTTCTTGACTCGTGACGTAACCATGTTGTTTTTTGTACTTTTGAACTACCTGATTACCTGTCAATATTCATTCAAAATGTGTCTGGATTTCCAATGAAATTTCGAAACATATTCACATTTTTGTCTATTATATTCAAATTATAAAATTTCCAGCTAGCAAAATGAAGTCGGTTTCAAACCAAAACATCCAATAACACAATATTAATAATGTTTTTTTCTAGGAAAATGGGGTTTGTGGTGGACAAAGTGTCAGAAGACTCCTTTTACGAAAACCTGCTGCTGGGCTTGTCCAAAGTCCTGGAGAGAAGCCCTTGCGTCTCTAACCTTTCCCTGAAACGAATACCGGGTGTTCGACAGATGGAAATCCGTTCTTGGGAGCACAATAACGGGATAATCCTACCAGAAGACTTGAGAGCTTTTTATTCCTCCACCAATGGCTTTCTCTATACCTACGATTTTTCTTATGATTACACTAGCACCGAGGAAGGAAAACGATTCACCAGACAAGGAAAAATAGAGGTAAAACTGCACTCATCATGCAATGGATTTTTTTTCGAAAAATTTTTTTTTGGTGCTTACGTATTTTTTTCTGAAAAACACGAATTCGATAATGAAAATGTTGACAAACCCATTTTTATCGAGATATTTCAAGAAAAAGTTCGAAATTTCGCCTTCTTTTTCCTCCTGTGTTGGATGAATTTACAGCTACTTGCTCTTCTTATGTTGTCATTGGACACTTTATATATTCATGATGTACTCCAATGACACATTTTCATATAGAAAATTCACGAAATATGAATTTTTTGGCGAGTTTTTCATATTTAGTGAACAATCATATGACGGTCATTTAATCAATGGTCAATCCAAATACGAGATGTCAAATGTCAACAAATATTGCTTTTAAATGACATATTACACAGGCCATTATTTTAAATGATATTCTTCTTTTTCACTAAATATGGATGAATCGCAAAAAAATCATAATTCTAGTTTTTTTTTTTTTATCGCTTGGAGCGCACGAAAGGGAATCCCTATAATGTTCAAAGAACATCGTGCGTTCCTTGGGAGGATAGGGACAGGAGGTAGGTATTGGAATTTTTTTTGAACTTTTGGATATTATAATATGTTGTTGGGAATACTTCCACAGGCAATGAATTCCAGAGCCTAGCCGTTCTATGGATGAAGGAGTCTTGATAAAGTGCTGTTCGACATCTTTCGAGGTTGACAACGAAAGGATGTGTTGACTCATATATGATAGAACAAATGTGTCATTGAAGTACATTGTGATATACAGGGTGATACACGGTGGATGGTTCATTAGAAATATCTGGAGAATGAAAAGACAAAAGAACATTCTGAAAATTAGGATGCTTTGATAATTGAACATTCTCTATCCGTCTAAAATATTTTCATTGATACTGTGTTGCCACTTCCATCAGAAACAACTATAGCAACTTCGTTATTTTAAATGTATCACAGTTGGGGTCGAGTAGGAATAATTACAGAGATATAGGGTGTTCAAAATTGAGATTTTTCAATTTTAGGATTTGTTTGTGTCGAAACTATTCATTATCGATCAAAACGGGCTTACATATCCCTTTCTTAACTTTCGATTCACTATCTACTGACATTTAGTAGAGTAGAGTAGGAATAATTACAGAGATACAGGGTGATCAGAATTCTGAATCGTGAAGCACCCTGTATTTACACTTATGGTCTAAAACGGTTAATTTAGGAACTACTTCAATATATATTATCCTGTCCGCGTGTTTGTCCCAAAGTTTTCTGATCATGTTTTTTAATAATACATGAATGATCAATATAATTTTGCCTTGTAATAATAGTCACAAAAAATGTAAAATTCTCAAATAATTTGGCAATTGCTCGTTTCAGACGTTTACGAATAAGCATAATAACAAAGTACCTGTAGTTCTCAAATTAATAGTTTCAGAAATCGTTTTATTGGAACAAAGAAATGTAAAAATATACAGGTTGTCCAATAATAATTTTAAAACTGATGTCACGTGACCGAAAACGAGATGCTCATTGGGCAACATAATATTAAAAAAATCTGCTCCAATTTATATAATCTACAACACTAAAATTAGAATTTTTTTTACTCTCGGGTTCCAAAATATTCCCTGGCTCAATCCTCGTGGAAGACCCTGTTCTTCTGATTTTCATCAATTTATAAACACTGTTTCAACACTAACCAAACCAATTTTTAATGCTTCAACAACGTGTTTCGAGATCTATACTATATGTCTCGAACTTGGTAAACCTACTTTTTTACTCCTTTCAATTCAGGGGCGTTTTGGAAGACAACTAAGTTAAAATCTGTAATGCACTGTATCTAACGAAATCACCCTCGGAAGTTTTGTACTATTGTTAGAAACCCTGTATAGACGATCTGTTTTCAAAATTATTCAGTTTCTTGATCAGTTTTAGGTTCCCGATGTCTGTGTTGAAATTGTGTGATTCATCACCATACTTAAACGTTAAAGATGTTCTTTGAACCTAGTGTTCATGGGTTTCCCAGTTTGGCATACAGCATTAATTTATGTAGTAAATTCCTGGTTTTCAACCGGTCTTTTGGATTTCCGATAATGAATGCGCTGATTTTGATCCAGGTTTAGGAACTATATGAAAAATACGTAATACTTCAGGCAATACAATCGAGAAATCAGACAAACTTGAATAACCATGGATCCACTGATAAATGAGTTAAAATCGTTTGTAGGTCAAACTAGGAGCACCATTTTGAACTAATTTCAAAGAACATCTTGTCATCAAGAACCTGAAATATTCTCCTGATGAAGACACTCGAGCATAGTTCTGGGACATTAAAAAATCTGTTTGACTAGTGGTAAAATAGTGTAGAGTAATTATTATCATTCATAGGTAAATCCTTTGTCGGAATTGATAAGGACCTACGGCTACGAAACGAAGAACGTCTCCCAAATCGAAAAAACCGGCACAAAGTACAAACTCACCCTGTCCAGGGACAGCCAAGTGTACGAACTCTGCACGGTAGACGAAAACGCCAAAGTGGTCCTGGTCTACATCAACTCCTACTCTATACCGAGCGTCTGGCTCTACACCAACTCCATGACCTTCAACCGCCTGTCGGAAGACTTTACGACGTACATGCGCATGTGCATAGCCCACTTGGGCATACCCTGCTGGCAGTACACGGTGGCCAGGGAAGGGCTGCCAGACTGGGCCAGGGAAATGTTCGTTTTGCTGGCGCCAGGTGTGCTCAGGGAGGACCAGAACCTCATCGAGACGCCAAAGTTCGACGTTGACGTCTTGAATCGAATCGACGCCAATATTTTCTCTTTGCATTCGGTGAGCAACGACAGGGGCGCTGTTGTCAAGGCCGTGCAGCAGGATAAGAGCGCTAAGGAGAAGAAGAAGATTGTGCCGAGGAGACATATGAGCGCTAAAGCTGGGAAGAAGAGTGGGCTGGACAAATAATAAATAAATTTCAAAGTTACGGGGTTTTTCATTTCATTTGCACACCTGTTCTTACTAGCCTTATGTAAAAGTAGCAGAATGAGCCTCAGACTAAATAAAATCACATACACAACGCGATTCATTCATGAATCATTGAAAACTACATCCTCTTCCACTTATCGGAAGACTTTATAACGTACTTGCGCATGTGCATAGCCCACTTGGGCATACCCTGCTGGCAGTACACGGTGGCCAGGGAAGGGCTGCCAGACTGGGCCAGGGAGATGTTCGTTTTGCTGGCGCCAGGAGTGCTCAGGGAGGACCAGAACCTCATAAAGTTCGACGTTGACGTCTTGAATCGAATCGACGCCAATATTTTCTCTTTGCACTCGGTGAGCAACGACAGGGGCGCTGTTGTCAAGGCCGTGCAGCAGGATAAGAGCGCTAAGGAGAAGAAGAAGATTGTGCCGAGGAGACACATGAGCGCTAAAGCTGGGAAGAAGAGTGGGCTGGACAAATAAATAATAAATAAATTTCAAAGTGACAGAGTTCTTTTATTTGCACACCTGTTCTTACCAGCGTCGGGCAAAAGTAGCAGCCCTAATAACACACGTTATCCAGACGACATCCATTTTATATCCATTTGCCGTCCAAGACATCCATGGACGCCAAATGGAACTATCTTTTGATGTACATTGTTGTATATCCAGCTGATGATCTAGTATGTACTCCATCTGGAAGCCTATCTATGTCCATGGACGCACATCGAATAGCCACTTGGATGTCCATACGTGATACTTGGCAGTACATATTGGACATCCATAAGTGTATTGTCGGGATTTCCATTGTAGCGAGAAATTTTGAGAAGAGTGAAATGAGAAGAAGAAGATCTGAATTCATCTGTTAGAATTCGAAACATAATATAGGTTATGTTTATTTCATTCATTCATTTTGGTGGACTTTCATGATAATTACTAGTATTTTATAGTTGAATTATACCCCAGTTTCCTGCTTTATACGGCCTTCATACAAGTAAGTTCTTATTATTTCTGTGTCTATTCAGGTGTTCCTGATTGCGAATTGTTACGATAACATAACATATTTCTTGGATAGGTAGGTGAAACACCCTTCACCAGAATGAACAGAAGGAAAAGGATTTGAAACAGGTTGTTCCGACGTATCTACTATAAAGTAGAAAAAAAAATCATCGGATGTTGACAAACTCTTGAATGATACGACAACAGATGATGTGTGGGCAAGAATCACTGACAATTTCGCAGTTTAAGGAATTTATGGAACACCTTTTTCACAACATGTGGCTCTTGCATGATGAGGCTCCACCACATTTCACTCTGAATGTCCATTGCTGTTTCATTCAACACTTTTCAGATAATAAGTAGATGAAACGGCAGAGGAAATATACTATAGTTTATGGGAAGCAGTACCTATAAAGTTTAAGGTGTACTTCAGACCATTAAATACTGAACAGGAATTATGGAGACGGATTTAGAATGCATTGAATATTTTCAAAAATAATGCAGAAACGATGCAAAATATGCATTTCAGTTTTTGTGCTGCCAGTGAATTGGACAGCTTCTTTTCCAATTTATCATCCTAAGTAGGTAATATCTATTTTTTTATTATATTATATACTTTAGGTTTCACCCATGAACAATGTTTGAAATAAATGAAAATAACATAACCTGTCTTTTGAATACGTATAGGTTGGTATATATGTCTAATATATGGACACCATATGGATGTCCATAATGGATAACGTATGTATGTCCTAAAATGTGGAAAGCTGATTACCTATGGACATCCATAGGATTTCCTGTGTACACAAAGTGGTTATCCTATGGATGTCCAGGATGTCCGGGTGAGGATATCCATTGGATGTCCAATGGATGAAGGTGTGTTATTAGGGAGGATGAGCCTCATAATAAATAAACTCAGATACACAACGCGATTCATTCATAAATCATTGAAAATTACATTCTCTTCAACTTGTCGGAAGACTTTAAGACGTACTTGCGCATGTGCATAGCTCACTTGGGCATACCCTGCTGGCAGTACACGGTGGCCAGAGAAGGGCTGCCAGACTGGGCCAGGGAAATGTTCGTATATATTGTTGGGGCCAGGAGTGCTCAGGGAGGACCAGAACCTCATCGAGACGCCAAAATTCGACGTTGACGTCTTGAATCGAATCGACGCCAATATTTTCTCTTTGCATTCGGTGAGCAACGACAGGGGCGCTGTTGTCAAGGCCGTGCAGCAGGATAAGGGCGCTAAGGAGAAGAAGAAGATTGTGCCGAGGAGACACATGAGCGCTAAAGCTGGGAAGAAGAGTGGGCTGGACAAATAATAAATACATTTCAAAATAGCGGGGTTTTTATTTTATTTGCGTACCTGTTCTTACTAGCCTCGGGTAAAAGTAGCAGAATGAAACTCAGACTAAATAAAATCAGATATACAACGCGATTTATTCGAAATCATTGAAAACTACATCCTCTTCTACTTGTTGGAAGACTTTATGACATACTTGCGCATGTGCATAGCCCACTTGGGCATACCCTGCTGGCAGTACACGTTGGCCAGAGAAGGGCTGCCAGACTGAGCCAGGGAAATGTTCGTTTTGCTGGCGCCAGGAGTGCTTAGGGAGGACCAGAACCTCATCGAGACGCCAAAGTTCGACGTGGACGTCTTGAATCGAATCGACGCCAATATTTTCTCTTTGCATTCGGTGAGCAACGACAGGGGCGCTGTTGTCAAGGCCGTGCAGCAGGATAAGAGCGCTAAGGAGAAGAAGAAGATTGTGCCGAGGAGACACATGAGCGCTAAAGCTGGGAAGAAGAGTGGGCTGGACAAATAATAAATAAATTTCAAAGTAACGGGGTTTTTCATTTTATTTGCACACCTGTTCTTACTAGCCTCGGGCAAAAGTAGCAGAATGAGCCTCCGAATAACTAAAATCAGATACACAATGCGATTCATTCATAGATCATTGAAAACTACATCCCCTTCCACTTGTAGGAAGACTTTACGACGTACTTGCGCATGTGCATAGCCCACTTGGGCATACCCTGCTGGCAGTACACGGTGGCCAGGGAAGGGCTGCCAGACTGGGCCAGGGAAATGTTCGTTTTGCTGGCGCCAGGAGTGCTCAGGGAGGACCAGAACCTCATCGAGACGCCAAAGTTCGACGTGGACGTCTTGAATCGAATCGACGCCAATATTTTCTCTTTGCACTCGGTGAGCAACGACAGGGGCGCTGTTGTCAAGGCCGTGCAGCAGGATAAGAGCGCTAAGGAGAAGAAGAAGATTGTGCCGAGGAGACACATGAGCGCTAAAGCTGGGAAGAAGAGTGGGCTGGACAAATAATAAATAAATTTCAAAGTGAAGGAGTTTTTTTTTATTTGCACACCTGTTCTTACTAGCCTCGGGCAAAAGTAGCAGAATAAGCCTCAGACTAAATAATATCAGATACACAACGCGATTCATTCATAAATCATTGAAAACTACATCCTCTTCTACTTGTCGGAAGACTTTACGACGTACTTGCGCATGTGCATAGCCCACTTGGGCATACCCTGCTGGCAGTACACGGTGGCCAGGGAAGGGCTGCCAGACTGGGCCGGGGAAGTGTTCGTTTTGCTGGCACCAGGGGTGCTCAGGGAGGACCAGAACCTCATCGAGACGCCAAAGTTCGATGTGGACGTCTTGAATCGAATTGACGCTTATATATTCTCTTTGCATTCGGTGAGCAACGACTGGGGCGCTGTTGTCAAGGCCGTGCAGCAGGATAAGAGCGCTAAGGAGAAGAAGAAGATTGTGCCGAGGAGACACATGAGCGCTAAAGCTGGGAAGAAGAGTGGGCTGGACAAATAAATAATAAATACATTTCAAACTGACGGAGTTTTTTTATTCGTACACCTGTTCCTACTAGTCTAGGACAAACGTGCCAGAACGAGCCTCAGGCTAAATAAAAACGAATAGACAACGCGATTCATTCATAAATCATTGAAGAGTACAACGATTGACGAGAGGGGCGCTGTTGTCATGAATTTCAAATTAGCGGAGTTTTTTTTATTTGCAGATCTGTTTTCAACAGTTTTGGGGAAAATTGACAGAATCAGCCTCAAATAATAACAGGCATTTTTTCAACAGGATGTTGAACTCATCAAAATAGACAAAATCACTAAAACTTACTTATAAAAAGGTAGAAAAAAAAACGAAGTTCAAAAACCTTGGTATATTCACCATTTTGGATGTTCCTTCCAAACTCTGTCACGACACCTTCGCAGCAAATTAACAAACATTCGCGGTGTTGAAGCATTTTCATCGGAAATCTTTCCTGGTAGAAACGAAATTATGCTGCTGCACTTTGGCGACACTCACCATAAATCAAAAGCACACAGAACAACAACTAATAAGTTTATAGTTGTTATTAGTCCTGAGTGTCTGATACTCATGTTGTTATCGGTATTTTTCTCTGAACTCAATGTTGTTATACAGGGTGATTCAGGTTTTGAGGTACAAATTAACTGAAATGGGTGATAGAACAAAATCAACATATTTTAGAACGAATATGCTGGTAGATGTCAGAGGCCTACTACGAAAATGTTTGGGAAGGAGGGGGGTAAAGAAGCTTTTACCCCCGATAACGTATAGCCCTGTAGATATTGAAAATCTTCAAAATGATCAAAATGATGGTCTTCTAGTAAGTATTGACCACATCAAATTTCAGATTGATGTTTTTGAAACTAAGCGAGATATTTTAATCAATAGAAAAAAATAATCAAACTTTGACCCGCTACTGATCGAGATCGGACTCATGTTGATAAAAACTTGTTTGATCAAAATGATAAGATCTAACACCTATTTCAGTTTGTACCTTAAAACCTGAACCACCCTGGATATTGGTAATTAAAAATTTTCTCCAATGAAATTTTTTGATTTTCCGATTGGAGTGTTTTCAATCCTGTGGGAAAAAGTGAAGAAGTCAACATTTCAGTAAAAATATCATATTAGAAGCCATGGGAACTGGATTTTCTAAAAATTAGTTTACTTCCACTGAGAAAATTTGAAAAAAAATCGATATTATGAAATTATCTTACTGTATAACACTGACTTTAGGGAACTAATTCTGAAAAGACAATGGGTTACCTTCAAAGGAAGACTCACTTCATAATATGGCTATAAAATTCCAATCATAGTTCTTATGAATCTTTATTATTTTATTGAGTTTCGACTATACAAACAAGAGAAAAAACAATAAAAATAATAGTGATAATTGAGGAAAGTCAATGACTAATTAATACTAACAGTCAGCCAATTGACAAAATAATTGCTCAGTTCCAATAAATAAAACAACAAAAAGTTACAATTTCAGCCAACGATATTCAATTATTGTAATTGTACTAGGTCTCCAAACATACGTATAAATATTTTTAAAATAAACGGGTGTTTCAAAAAAGTTTTTAGAAACTTTTCAAGGGGTTGTATGAAGGTAGAAACTCCCAGAAAAATAATAGTGCGTGCTTCATTCAACTGAAAATTATGAAACTATGAAGTTTCTGCACGAAAATATTACACTTGTATGAAGTCCGTAAAAGCAACCGTTTTAGAGGAAATTGAGGATGAAGATTTTAAAGCATTTTCTGTAGTTTCACTCAGAAAAGCCTACTGAATTGACAAAAAACTACCTTTATTTTTTAAAAAAATTCAAATTTATGTAATTTCAGAAAACTGAAAGCTGAATGAAAACACCTAATTTGAAACACATTGCAACAACAATCAAATACTCGAACCAATCTAAAAAAAAAATTGGCAGACCATACAAAAACTCGAGGAAAATATCACCAAGTAATATGAAAATGACAGCACTAGCACACACATTTTAGAGCATTTTCAAATTGGCAGCATTCCGTCATCAATGACCAGAAAATTCAAATACTTCTGCGATTTGTCATAAACCATATCTATTTCATTAATTTTACATATTTTTACAAGTTCAAACCACACAGTAACAATATTTTTGGCACCTATCCGAATTTACCGGCATCACTGGCAGTAATGACAGTTGACGTCGATGACATCAATGACGCCAATGACGACTGATTGTTGCCAAATCTTAGAACACTCAAGAAGATGCAACCGATAGCTAGTGCACATGTGGTCAATACTAAAAGAGACTATATAAAAAAGAGTAGCGATAATAGACCTAAAGATTTGCTGCCCTTTCCGGAATGTCATTCGTGGTCAAGTCACAGAATAGCTAAAAATATGAAGAGTACCTCCCGTGCAGTAATGAATTTGCGCCTTCGAAGTGCCCATCATCTAAATAATCTGAGACTTACTAGTCGCAAAAGACGGGTTCTAATAGTTAGTATCCAAAGTAACGACGTAGAGTTTCATGTCCGACTGTTGGATGTTTTGTGTCCATGCCTATAGCTCAGACAATTAAAAAGAGGGGAGACGAAATTGTTTACATTTTGGCCAGATCCAACATCGTTTTCAGCAGAAAGCATTGAGCACAATCAACAGCGTTGCCATTTTTTAAAATCATCTCTCTCTAACTTCTTTGAAACTTCGGAAGTACGTATGATTGTAAACAAATAGTGTTTTATGAATGACATGTTTTGTCTCCCCTCTTTTTACATGTATATGGTATAACTGCTGAAAAAAAAACAAGACAGGCGGATCCACCTCCATATTTGAGCTCTGACCAATCAAAAATTGCATCACTATTGTCGCCACTCTATTCTATAAAGTCACTCTAGTCAATACCTCGCACATAAACCTCTTCTTTTCTCTCTCCCTCTACGGTTTGGGCCTCATCAAATTGAACGATTTGGTAGAACGCAGAGCATCAGCTCTCGCCAAAAGAACCTTCTCGCGTTCTGAAGAGGTACCCAAAACCTCTTCCGGATACATATCCTCATTGGAGCACATCGGAGTGTTTTCTAGCCACCTTGAATGAATAAATGTACAATAGTTTTTTACAAGTTAGAACAATAACTAGAATGAGACGCCCTGACAACTATCTATACGACCCATCTAATCAATATTTGTACCACAAAACTAAAATAGAACCAATACAAGAACAGCTGAGGAAGTTATCCCAAAAATTCGCCCTCAAGACCAGCAACATGGAGCTTTTAATACCCCACTTGATTCTAAGAGAAGGTATGAGATCACGTTTCAAATTCCCAGAAAGAACAATACAAGAAATACTTACATCATTTAGTGAAGATTTTTTTTCAAATTCACATTTATATGCAAATGAAATTATTGAAATACCATGTATATTGAAATTTACTGGCTGCAGGACTTCGGACGATGGCTTTTTGGTTCTAATTTATAACCAATAAAGAGCGTTTATTATTATTATTATTTTATAATGATGCTACAAAATGACACATGACAGAATTCCATATTAATTTTACCTTTCCAAGAATTGCCCCTCCCCCATGCTTTGCGGTAGACGCGACGAGTCTTCTTCTTTTTTTCGGGAGTCGCACCGACCGTCGACTGTCAACGCGGGTTCAGAGCCTACTTCGAAGGAAGCGGCGAGTGAGAAGCCGTTTTCCTCGTCGGAATACGAACCGACTGACCTAACAAAAATTTAACGGACCGATTTCAAAATAAGCACATTTATTGAACACATCAATATGGTCTAACGCACATTCCTGATATAATCGATTTTCAAAATTGAATAAAAATAGAAAATACCTATACATATTGAGTTTGTCACGTCCAGACAACTGACATGATAGAATTGTATTCAAATTTCTATTTTCAAACTGCTTTCCCCATGTTGATTATCTTGACAAATATCAAATGTCACTAATGTCAGTGAAAAATTGACTTTCAGTACTACTGGATGAACAATAAATTCGCGAATCAGATTTTCTTCATTTCAGGAGGAATTTAGTCGACAAAAAAATGTTATAATAACCAACTCGCATATTAATTATGCGATTAATGATCTCGCGTTGCTTGCACATTAAAATATCTGGATCCTTAATCGCCCTCAGCATTAATACACTAATTGGTTAAGGAACTATTATATTCATTATTTCCACATTTAAGAAACTAATATGAATAAAAACATTACGATTTGATCGGAAAAGAGTAGATTGTTTTATCAGAAGTGATACTTTGTTTGACAAGCGAATTTTGCGAGTTGACTATTTATTTTTTATTTCTCAAATAGAATCATCACTCAAATACCTTTCGATTTCATATTTTTTTAGAAGTTTTCGGTAGATTTTAAAGTGCTAAAATCATCAATAATGCCACGGTAATTTTCAAACGGCTAGAAATTTACCACCAGTAAAAACTGACGCACAATTTCGTAAGTAGGGGCAGACCATAGCACAGTTGCCAAAATATGTAGAAATACGATTGAGAACTTCCAGGAATATTAGTTATTCAATAATTTATAAATTCTCAATTATGTATTGGTAATAGTCCTAATTGGCAATAAAAATGTACCCTCATGTGCTGTGACTTAATGCTTATAATAATACATTTGTGAAAATAATAATTATTATATTAATTCACACTAGAGGATATTTGAACCGGTGAACGTGACAACACGGCGCAAGAATTGTGGGCGGTGTCTTGTCAGTTCTCAGCCTTCAGCACAATGTTGCCAAGTCTCCAACATCCATATTCTGTTATGGAGAATAAGAAATATTTGGACATGCTGGTTGCTCGAAAAAGTCAAGAATGAACTATCATGGCTTCCTCCTATTATGTTTCATTCAGCGACAGGACTATTTTTGATAAGTTGATGATGATTGTTGACTTGACAACCTTGCTTCATGAGTGGGAATGGAAGATTATCTGACCAATAACGGAATAGCATAAAAACTGACGTCACCATTTATTCGACGTATCGCCAAATGGTGGCCATGACAGTATACGTTTGGAATGAGCTCTGATAATCAACGATTTTGAACAACGCATAGACTCATTATTAACATAAAAAATTCGTGAGAAGTGTTGTAAAGAATAATGTAGGTCCCTAACGACACAGTGGGGTAATTGAATGCCAATAATTCATTGTCAGTCCACTTGCCCATCAACACCTATTTGAAATAAATATAAGTGAAGTACCTAATGTGACTCACTTGACAAATTTTTATAAAATGAGTAAGTAGATAGAAACAAGGCCTCAGACTACTCTACTTTGTTACAATTTCTGTTGATGGAAGGATGCGATGCAACAAATATTCCGTGTGGTGAGGTTTATTCTATCTGTGTGAAATAATTGTACATAAGTTCGCACAAAACACAATGGCCAGTGGGCAGCGTGCCGGTATGATATGCGAAAGGTTGTGGGTTCGAACCCCCTACTCCACCAACTTTTTCTTTCTTTGGATTGATGCATTCAGACATTCACAGATCAGGTTTATTCAATTTTGAAGGATGTTCTAATTATAACTGTATAAGGAAACAAACACATTTTCTTTGGAAGAGCACTTTTTAATCAATACTCTCAAAATTTCCTATTATATCATCAACAAAAAGCTTAAATCAAATTTTATATTAATCAGGAATTCCGAAATTCATGATCATCACACTAGACAATATAACTTGTTTCATCTTGAAGCTGCAAATTCTAAACTTGGGCAACAAAAGTTTACACATGAGGCGATTTCGAAATTCAATAAATTACCAGATGATATCAAAAACAGCCCAAATATTATGCAATTCAAAAATAAAGTTGAGAAATATATTTATATGCAAAGGAATGATCAAAGCTGAAAGACCATGAATTTCCTTTTTTCTTTTTTTTTTTCACTGTTTTTATTTTTCCCCTTCTCCTTCACTATAATATGACTGTATCTTAATGATATGTAAGTTTTGTTCACTATTTGTAATTTCAATTATACAACAGTCGATAATACTTCATGAATGATCTTATACCAGGAATTATACTGTCTGATCATTCATGTCATTCCTACTAGAAAATTTATTATACTTTATATATTATTTGTATGAAATGTATCAATGAAGAAATAGTTATTTTTGTATCTAGAGCGCGAAATGCTACTTTGGTGATCGAGATCTGATTTTTTTAACGAGGCGTTGCCGAGTTAAAAAAATAGTCGAGATGACCAAAGTATTTCGCGCTCGAGTTGCAAACAACATTTTTTCTACAAACGTCAAAAAATATAGTTCTAAGGTAAAAATATGCTTAGCTTGATATAACAAATGGTGTTGAACTGGCTTAAAAAGTCTCCCCCTATCCTCCGTAGGTACGCACGATGTTCCACGAACATAATAGGAATTTCCTTTCGTGCGCTCCAAGATATTAAAACGAAGTTATGATTGAACATTCAGAAATAAATGATTTCGTGGATGTTTTCTCGATTGAGGACCATTAAGTTGGATTAAAAATATCTCATATATTTTACATAACAATGCGCGAAGTAGGTACTTCGCGCACTGTTTACTTCGCGCATTGTTATGTGCAAGGTATCATGGTAACGTAGGAAACTGAAAAAAAGTGTCACTTCGCAATTTGTTATCATGCGCGAACCTTGTCATTTTTTGACGTTTGTAGAAAAAGAATGTAATGTAATAACTGAAATAAATAAAAATAAATAAATAGTTTCAATATAAATATTACAATAAATTAACTGATTGCCTTTGAGTTTCTTGTTGAATATAATGAATCTATGTGTTTATTCTTGATGACCTAGTAGCATCCTTTTAGTTCCTAGGAGTTAAAGTTCAACTTTAGTTCCTAGAAACTGAAAGAATTGTCTAGCAACATACCTATTTTCGTGTCAGTAATAGAAACATCAACTTCAGGAACCAATTTTGGAGTTAAAATGAACGACGTTTGAGTCGGTGGCAGAAAAATCAAATTTTTCGTTTTTAATAAAAAAATTGAAATTTTTTGCAACTCTGCTTTCGAATGCCTCAGAAAAACAAACAAATCACCTGCTAATCCTCCTGTCGTCCTTCCCATTCTCATCGCCTTCTTTGACCTTCATTCGCAGCTGCCCATCGGAATGTATCGCGACCGATTTGGAAATGATGGCGGACAGTTTGGTGGGGCCGTTCAGGGGGTCAGTGCCCTGTTCGACGTTGTGGGGCTTAGCCCCATCGGAATCTCGGACGATCTCTTTGCCGTTGGTGATTTTTATCTGGCTGGCTAAAGAGTCTTGAGATGAGATTGGAGGAGTCGATGAACCTGTGGAAAAATTTTAGACTAACTAATAATAGATCGACACCTCGATTCATACTTTTTTTGTGTTTTTTTCAATGTATAATATACACCGTGTCCCAGCTAAAACGTCCTCTCCTGTAAAAAATCAACCACGCGATCGAATGACTTGATTTGGGTATTGTAAACATGTTGTAGCTGTTCTTTTATATGTCAATTGATTTGCTCGTCATAATTAGTTTGAATTGTTTGAACTATCTTCAATTCATCACCCGTTCACTGTTCACTAAACTAATAAAAATGTTATAATGTGAAAAAATTGACCAACTCAACCATCATAACTACCAACAGTGCCAACCTTTATGTCATTGACAAGTTAAACTACAGCTACAGCAAGCTGAATGCAATGTAGTCTATGCACTTTATCCATAGTCAACAGTTTATTTTCCCCCAGTTTGAAGTTCGTATTATGTAACCTAGATGTCGCCCACTTCGTGAATCTCACGGGCGTTTTAAAGACAATCAAACACCGGCAACTGATCATAGAAAAGTCGGAAAACGAAAAATAAAATTTTTTCGTGAACCTCTACAAAAAATCACATTTTACGTTCTAATTTCCGAACGAAAAACCGACTATTTCCAAAGGCAAGTACTTTTCGTCCGCAGATACCACCTTTTCGTCCGCTGCAGGGTTGCCAGTTCTACTGAATTTTCAGTAGATCTTCTGATTTGCATATTGATCTACTGAAACATTTTATAATCTACTGAAAAAAAGTACACTTATTTATTATCATAATTACCCATATTATAATTGATCTTTATTCAATCACATACACTTGTGAATTGCCTGATATTACGGCAAATAAACCTGGTCTCCTGAACCATCAGCGTTTCTATTAGCTAACCTTCCTGGGTGCTGTGATTATCCCACTAAAGATTCCAGTTTTCAAATTACTATTATAGCATATAATAGATTCAAGATTCTTTTCTGATTCATGGTGTAATAAACTTTTTCTACAAACGCTTAACAAAGTAGCCTTTGACGCTTTCAAATTCCAGCACAAAGTTGACGTTTTCCTAGAAATGTCATTCTTTGACAGCATTTGCGCTCGTGAGCGGAAATGATGAAAAAACGCTCGCACATCTCTGTAACCTATACTGATCCATTCTTGAAAACCCCCAATTCTTTCATGATGGAAAATAGTGACAGTGAATCATCAAACACACCACCTGATATAGAAATCAAGGAAAAAATATGAATTACAATATGATACAGTCATAAATTGGTGCCACTCCGAGATGGTGAATATGTATTCAGAAAACGTTTTACTGGCTTTTTTGGTAAAAATCAAAGACTTTGAAGTCATCAACTCATTGGTCTATATATTCGTTGTACGTATACATGCTTGAATGTCAAAGATAATATCGGAATCAATAAGTATCTGAAACTTATCTCATTTCTCAAGAAACAATCTATTGGATATAAAGCGAGAAAAATCCAAAACATTCACCGCTGAAGATATATACCAACAAATTCCTACAAGAAGCTCCCGATGAAGCATATCTGTTGAAAACGATGAATTATACTTTATATTTAAACTCTTTGTTGTCATCAGAATAAAGACAGTGTATCTTTATTTTATGGCAACAATGAGTAATGTTAAATTTGATTGCAGAGTTAATCGTACTATGGCTCAGAGATCTGAAGCTCAGGTTGCCACGCTGGTGGTCCAGTTTCAATTCTCGGTAGGCTCGACATTTTTTTTTGGCTTGTCAGTTATTTAAATTCATCTTTTTTGTTTCCTTTGGACATATGGGTTAATATGGATAAGAACTTTTTCAACTATTTCAATCGCTCATACTTTCAGGGCAGTTATTTCCAAAAGCTGCGTTAGTAGAAAAAATCTTGTGTGTATTTCGAGCACAAAGTGTTATTGCCGCTCTCCAAAGATTACCGCGCTCCGCTCCGCATCGCGCGGTAACTTTCTTTGTCGAGCGGCAATCTATCACTTTGCGCTCTAAATACACAAATAGCTATTCCACCTACCACAACAACTTTCGCTCCCCTCGTGCCTCAACCCCCGGCTCATGAAACTCCTGAAGGAGTCGGAGCTGATCCTCCTGTTCAGGTACGCCTCCGGAATGGCCAAAATCTCCCCGAGGCCTCTGCCGCACTCGCTACTTCTACTTTTGCCACTGGAGGCGCTTTTTTTCGATGGGCTGTGCTGCTTCTGCTGTTGGCACTCTTGTCTTATGAAATCTAGAATGCAAGAATGGGCAAATTCCAACATTCAAATGTTCATTCTTCTGTGCAGTTTATGAGAATTCATTGAACACATATATTTTTATTATTGTCGTGCGATAAATCAACTCCTACACGGAAAACGCTATTTGACGACGATGTGAGTCATCTTGACATCGATAAAGAAGGATGCAAAATTATAAAGGAACATTTTATTGACGCAGGGTACAACATGAAGTTGTAGCCATCTTGTGGCAAAGCTCTGAGGTAGGATACATAGATATCGCGACACACACTGTATGGCGCTGCCATCTATAGTCACACGTACAGACCCCTACGTCTATACGCTACAGAGTGGTACTACAAGTAAATCACTCTGCTCACAGATGGCACTACCTGACATACTTGAGTGGAATTTTTCCACCACCTATTCAACTGCTAAATCTCATAACTAAGAGATCTAGGATGAACAGAGTTGCCCCAATTGTCAGCAGGAGCGAGACAGTACTGTTTCGACCCACCAGGTCTCATCAGCCGCTCTCGGTCTGCTGACAACTGGAATAACTCTACGCTTCGGGTATATCACCCATTTCGAAGACGCAGGGTATAACATGAAGTTGTAGTCATGTTGTAGCCATCTTGTGGCAAAGCTCTGAGGTATATTTTTTTGGAAAAGTACTTCGAGAGATGCCTCACTTATACATTTATCTTTGTTGTCAAAAAAATTCGCAAGGATCCATTCCATTTTCTAATTTTCAGCGATTTTTGCAATTTTCAGAAATTTTTCTAACTTCCAGGAATTTTTGCAATTTTTGCTATTTCTGCAATTTTCAGGAATTTTGCGATTTTTGCAATTTTCAGGCATTTTTGCGATTTTTGCAATTTTCAGGAATTTTAAGGAATTTTTACAATTTGTCGGAATTTTTGCAATTATTGCAATTTTTGAAATTTTCAGGAATTTTCGCGATTTTTGCAATTTTCGAGGCATTTTTGCAATTTCCAGGCATTTTTGCGATTTTTGCAATTTTCAGGAATTTTTAAAATATCTGCAATTTTAGGAATTTTTGCAATTTTCAGGAATTTTTACAATTTTCAGGAATTTTTGCGATTTTTGCAATTTTCAGGAATTTTTGCAATTTTTGCAACTTTCAGGCATTTTTGCGATTTTGGAATTTTCAGGCATTTTGGCGATCTTTGCAATTTTCAGGAATTTTCAGAAATTTTTACAATTTTCAGGAATTTTTGCAATTTTCAGGAATTTTTCCAATTTTCAGGAGTTTTTGCAAATTTTCAGGCATTTTTGCAATTTTCAGGAATTTTTGCAATTTTCAGGAATTTTTGCGATTTCTGCAATTTTTACAATTTTCATGAATTTTTGCGATTTTTGCAATTTTCAGGAATTTTTGCAATTTTTGCAATTCTCAAGAATTTTT